TGTGTACAGACATTAAAAGTTACACACTTGTCTCAAATAATACCAAGTAAATGGTAGTTAAAATGCAGAATTGGAATTTTTTCTCAACCTGATACTAGTATTCCTCTTGGGTCATCAAATCATCTGGTCTGCTCCAATCTGTCTTGTCTGGTTCAGACAATAGTCTTTACTACTGCATCAGTCAGCAGACACCTAACTATACAGACATTAGAAGTTACACACTTGTCTCAAATAAGACCATACAGTTGTAGGTAAAATGCATAATTGGGATTTTTCTCACCTGATATTCCTCTTCGGTCTTCAAATCATCTGGTCCAATCTTCTCTTGTCAGGTTCAGACAGTAGTCTTCACTCCTATGTAAGTCGGCAGCCACCTAACTATGCAGACATTAAACGTTACACACTTGTTACGGTAAACGGTGGGTAAAATGAAGAATTGGAATTTTTCTCACCTGATATTCCTCTTGAGTCTTCAAATCATCTGATGTGGTCCAATCTGTCTTGTCAGGTTCAGACAGAAGTTCTCACTACTGCATCAGCCTTCATCTAACCATACATACATTATAAGTTGAACACTTCTCTCAAATTACTTAAAAATCTCTATTACCACACAAAAGCGCCCCCATCGGTTGCTTAACTTGGTGCAGCGTTAACTCGTGGGGGACAGTTGCCGCAACTTATTTTCAAAATTCTGTCTTTCTGCTTCATTCACCTCAGACGATATTTGCCTACAATAGTCAAGAGAGTATCTACGACGATTTAAAGTACAACTTACCACCAAAGCGGACGTGGCGCGTCTTCCTGGGCGGAATTTTTACCCAGCTCGTTCTTCCCTTGCATGCACACTCGCCAATCTTGGAAAGGCCGCGTGTTCCACGCACATGTGCCACCTGTTTTAAAATCACGAGCAAAATTTGCATTCGATAATCAAGTTAACATATAAGATTAATGACAGGCCAATAGGAAATCACCGCACATGCAGGCCAGAGAAATACGATGTCTTAATTATGGCTTTAATATTGTGAAACAAGAAATACAATAGGAGTTTTCAGACTTTCGGCTGTGTTTCGCAAATTTCGAGGTTTTCGTGAGCAAAACTCCTATCAACTTGTGCATAGTGTACGGTTAATCTTTTTTGCATGATCAGTCTTAAAAATCTTACTTGACGGGGTTTTCCAGGCCACGTGTGATAGGCAGGACGATGATACACTATGTTGATACTGAAATACACCTATCACAAACTCAGTCTCCACTTTTACCGCCTAAAATGTCCACATTCTGAACAGGTGTATTACGCGCCAATTTTCCTGACCACCGGTCAAAGGTGACATACTGAACCACCCTTCCGTTGTGTTCTTGATGCCGATTGGTTAGTACTTTCCGGCGCCTCCAATCAAACAGCACGTTACAAAGGGAGAGCGCTCACCATAGCAACGTACATAGCAACCGCGCGCCGCCATCTTGGATGGCGTAAATAGACCCAAATAAAGCGATCTGTTCGCACTGTGGTAGGTTGTTGTGCCAAGGTTTTCTGTGAATTCTAGTCGAAAATCGTCAACATGGGACAAGATTACTACGGAGTTCTAGGTCTGACGCGCAGTGCGACGGATGGAGACATCAAGAAGGCGTAAGTTTGATCTTATTTCTCAAATTCAAAGGCAAATGTAGTTTCTTTTGGCGATCGAACGAAAATATCATAACACCGGAACATCTGTTGGCATTTTACATGTTGCAGTGTTTCAATCCCTCATATTTCTTATTGCGATTTGGTATAACCACAATGCTCGTGCATGTATCATTTTCTGTGTTGGAAAAGTTCGTTATACTGTGCTGTGATTTCTTAAGGCTAAATGATGAAGCAGTCACGATACAGTAGTGATCGATTGCCCCCCTCCCCCTTCCACAACATTGAACCGGTGTGTTCTTTGAAGCATTTTAAGCAGCAATTTTCCGCAATACATGAAGATTTCTGCACATTTCTGCGCTTCATATTACGTAATCATCACCAACAATGCATCCCTATGCTATTAACTCAGTTGCGTGGCCAAACATTTGTTTTGTAACAACATATATTGTGTGAGCTCACCATTCATTTTCAACACACACAGATACCGTATCCTGGCCCTGAAGTACCACCCAGAGAAGAACAGAGACTATGGAGCGGAGGAAATGTTCACCAAAGTGGCCGAGGCCTACGATGTACTCAGTGATCGTAAGTATAACTTAATGTTCAGAAAACACCTTAAAAAAAAACATCTTAAAGTACATATACAGAGACATGAAAATTCCCTATATCATATGCAACTCCTACATAATACATGTATAAGGGGGAATTGTAACTATTTGCTGCATGTAATCATATCAGTTGTTACTTAATGTTTACCTACATGATGTACTAGTATTTGTTTGTATGTTGTTATGTATGTAGTGTTCCTGATACATGTATAGTATAATACATGTAATGTGTGTTCTAGAACACAACATATATGCATTTGTACTGTATACAGATTTAACCCTAACAGTAATACTTTGTTGATTACAATGTCAAGTTTTGGTTGACTTGGTTAAGCTGATGTGATTTTATCAAGTCAGCAACTCTTTCTAAAATCACACGTTTTTTCCACAGCGAGAAAACGAGCGACGTACGACCAGTTTGGTGAGGAGGGTCTGAAGAATGGCGTACCTGAGGGTAGTGGGGTGGGCGGTGCCTGGACCACCGGGTACACCTTCCACGGGAACGCTGCCAAGGTGTTCAAGGACTTCTTCGGAGGAGACAATCCTTTCGCAGGTGAGAAATGATTCAACTTATCATATATTATCATGTATTAAACTCATACCTTTGCATCACCTTTAGTACAGACCCATTCCTTATTTGACAAGAGAGTGAGACACACATCATGCACACACAAAGAACCACTACACTTACACCAGTATTGGTTATAACCCAATGTGTAATGGTCGGTCCCATACTCAATACTTAGCACTTAGCAATTCACATCACAACTGATGTGTTACACACTGAAGTGGCTGTTTGACCACTGATTCTCTATTAATTACAGGGTTAGGTAGTAGTGATACGGTTAACAAAATCACCATGGTACAGTTATAGCTATTGTTTTGTCTCATTTTAAGTGTATTTTTGTGTATTTCCAGACTTCTTTGATGGCCCTGACGGAGACCTGACCATGGGGTTCGGAGGTGTCCACGGGCGCGGCAGGAAGAAGAAGGACCCGCCCATCGAGCGTGACCTTGCCCTGACCTTGGAGGAAATCTTTCACGGCTGCACCAAGAAGATGAAGATTTCTAGAAGAGTAAGTATCAAGATCCAAACAAGGTCTTCGTATGATCTGTTGTGTTTTCTATTTTTGAAGAAGATTATTGTTTGAAAAAGTCAATTATCAGTAGTTGTCTTGTTCAGGTGAATACACTTCCTTGGGGATAGCCCAGTAAGATACATTGAATATATCACAATGTTTGCTATTAAATACTAGTACATGTATATCACAATGTTTTTGCTACAAGGACAACTGTTCTAACCTTTCACCTGTCCCTAGGTCATGATCTGTTTTAACCTTCCACCTTTGACCCATCTTTAGGTCATGAACGAGGACGGCCACACCTCCAGTATCCGTGACAAGATCCTGACGATCACGGTGCGGCCGGGCTGGAAGACGAGCACGCGGATCACGTTCCCCGAGGAGGGCGACCAGGGACCCAACAACATCCCGGCTGACATCGTGTTCATCGTGAAAGATAAGGCACATCCCAGGTTCAGGAGGGAGGGCAACGACCTCATCTTTACTGCCAAGATTCCTCTGGGCAAGGTGAGATTCAACAGTCCCCCTAGCAGCTATCTTCCCAACTGCAGATGCGTATGGTGAGATACAATAGTAACCATTGTGAGAAAGAACAGTCCCCCTAGCAGATATCATTCCAACTGCAGATGGCTAAGGTGGGCAACGACAGTGAGATAGGTTGATCTGCCTTTTCAACCGCAGATCACAAACCTGTAAACTATACTGCCAAGACAAACACAAGGGTACTGGTACAGATACATAATAAACTGTACTACTCTGTTGGGGGTTTGCTATATCAGGGTGCTGTCCAGTAGTACAATGAAATGGTTGTTAACCGTTTTGCCATCTTCCCCTGCAGGCCCTGACTGGCTGTAATGTAGTAGTCCACACCCTGGATGACAGAATCCTGGACATCCCCATCAACGACATTGTACAGTAAGTTACAGTCTTTGTCTCTCATTTCAGACAGTGCATGGTACATTTCAAACCTGTAATACAGCTTGTATGATAGCCTTCACATGATGAATGCAGCTTAAATAAACGATAGATTCTTGTGTGATCTTGGCTAGGAATTAATAGATACAGTCACAATTTAACATCAAGCAGGCCCAACATATAGTTTTCTTCCTTCTGCAGTCCCAAATACACCAAGATTGTCCCAGGAGAAGGCATGCCGATAGCCAAGACTCCCACCAAGAAGGGTGACCTGATCATAGAGTTTGACATTGAGTTCCCCACACAGCTGACACCGGAGAAGAAACAGCTCATCAGACAAGCCTTGCTTCACTAACATGGACATATGTACAGAAGGACATAAACTTCAACCATGTAATAATACAGGAGGGTATTCTCATGTTGGGTAGTTATGTTTTAGAGGGACTTTTCTAACCGCATCCCCAAAATAGGGTCTTCCTTTTCAATTGTATATCCAAGGACATTTGATTCTATGGATGACATTGACGCACACATGGATTTGGACCTTCCCCACCCCAAAGGGGGTGAGAATTCATGACAATACAGTACATATATCTGGTAACAAATTAATTCTATTTCATACTCTTACAATTAACTTAGGATCACAAGAGAATGTCAAAATTTAGGTGTAATTTGTATCTGTTGTAGGTTGTAGCAATTGAAGTTTTATGTATATATTCTACTACATGTATGATGGTAGTAATGAAGAAATGACACCTGATTTGTACAGGGTTATGATGTTATGGTTTTTGTTAGAACACAAACAGAAGATACACTTTCTAATCTTAGATAGACTGAAGTTTATTTGTCCTTGTGTATAGACAAGTCACTGTTACTAATTCGTTCGCACATAAATAGCTTAAAACATGATTAAAGCATCTTTGTAAACAGCCATAAGTTGGCAGCAAATAGACGGATGATAATTCTGCAAACTCACAGTGCATAATTGACATCATACTACAGCTACATGTAACAGTACTTTTGGACAACATTTGCTGAACAGTCACTTAACCACTACTATTGTACTTTGTTTGTAAAAAAATGTTGTAAAAATAAAGCTACCATTTGTTGCTCTAAACTCGACACTTTTTTCTATAGATATATATATATATAGCTTTGCAACATAAAACGCACAAGTATGGTCCTGTAACTTGTACACTGATATCTAGACAACCAGTAGTTGTACTCCATGCAGTGATGCCCTCTTACAGTCACTTCACAAACTGCAGCACGAGGTGTCACTTGATCAAACTTCTCAAATCTCAACAGGCCAGAAATGTTGGTGCTGGAAGCTTGTTGTATGCCTGGGGGTGGGACAAGTCAATAAAACAATATAAGCATGGAGGGTAAAAAAGTGTTACAGCATCTAACAGAGAATTCCCTGTCCTAACAAAGGGTTTTGAAGCAAACGAAATGCTGCAATACTGCAGGAATAGCACTTGTGTCACATTTCAAGTTCTGTATTCATGCATGATCCCTAGTACTGTAATGCCACCTAGCAGCAGGTCTGAACAGTGCAGCAGCAGGTGGAACAAAAAGACCACTCTGAAAGTACCTCCAAAAGTACCACATCATTGGGGGAGCAGACATGATATAGATAGTCAACAGTCACATATAATAGCAATAATTAAGACAATCATTTGCAGTTATGACTGCAATGTTTGTGACAAAGGTTTTGAACATGACACCTGTTAATGCTGGCAAGAATGGGAGGTGACTTATGAATAAAAAAACACTATAGAATTCAATACAAACATATCTACTGACAGCGAAGGGTGCCATAGGTCCGATGTTTGCTCCATATCTTCTCATGACCTCCCGTACGTGAGAAGGTTGGATGGCATCAGCTGAGGCAGGCTCCGGGGCTGAAGAACCACTCTGTAGAACAGAAGTAAGTAGATTTCACACTGTTGTTATTATCTAGGCCACATACACTTGATTTTATAGCTGACAGCCTCTAGAGACTCCAAATCTAATTCATTGACTAAAAAAAAACAAGTATGATCTAAGAAAAACCTAACATACTTTAAATTCAAAGGTAAAGAGATGACAAATATTGTACTAAGAATTAAAGGTGGATGGCAACAGTGAGAACTCTCTGATTCCTTTATTCAGAATTGAGGAACTGTTCAGATACAGGTAAAAATCAGGAACCTTTTTCTTTTTCTTCTTGGACTTGCCGCTGCCTCCACTGTTAGAGCTGAAGTTGAAGATGGAGGTCTGTGGGGTGGTGGGGAGGGTCAGGCCGGCAGAGTTACTGTTCTGAGTGGCTGAGGAGGGAGGGGCCGTGAACTGACTACCAAACATCAGGGGCGTCACATTACCTGGGAGGGGGGGGAGAGGACAAAATGGTCAAGTTCTCATCAGAGACCTTTAGGATTCTTTAATTGGAACATGTTGATTAAGCTATAGTTCAAACATAGTCAAAAAAATAAAATGACAGTGTCTGAAAATGATTTGTCTGCAAGTCTTTATTCTGCAATACAAATCAATTATTACATATCATATAGAAGAGTGAAATTTCAAAGGTGAGAAACTTCATTGAGCAAGCAAAATTATCATTTACAATACTATACATGACATAAAAATATACAATATGCAGATATAACCTCAAATGATCAAAGGCGATGTCTTTATTCATGGTCAAGTCATGGTTGTCTACATGTACCTTCTCAATTTTTTCAATAGAAAACACAGCACTGAAATTTCAGTACTTGTTCTGATGACTGAAGAAGTATCTGTTTAAATGAGAGACAGGGTAGCCTACATCTACCAAAATAAATGGAAGGGTTGTAGTACCTGACTGACCTGTAGGGGTGGTCGGCGTGGAAGGGGGGGTCTGGTTGGGACTGCTGGGGCGAGAGGAGGGGGACTTGATCTGCAGGGGTGGAGGGGGGGCGACAGAGATGGTGTCAGGGGCTGAGCAGAGGTGAGGGGCACAGGGCTGGAGGGGGTTGTTCACTGTTCTCTCTGTGTCCTTCTTTATCAGCAGTGCACAGTCTACAATCTGGAGTGGAAATGACACAGGTATTAAAATAGACAGTAGATGGACAACACAAACCTCTACAAAAGCAGGCAAATTTGAAATCCAACAATTTTTTCAAAAAGATATAAATATATGAAGAGAATGAGTAGACAAGACTTACAGTTCCTACAGTTTCATAAGCCAGATAACTGAGTATCTCCATGGCCAGTGGGTTGGGTTTAACCTCCAGGGTTCCCAGGTCCATCCAGTCTCGGAACTTACTCGCTTTCTTATCTGTCAGAAGGAGGACATAAAACTTGATGACATGACAAACAATGAGTAAGATAATCAACACAGATCTGAAAGTTCAGCCTGAAAAAACAGTCACAAAGAAATTCTGGTACAGAACTGTCCAGAACATGATTTCCTTTGTAGTTTAACAAAGTAGTTTGTTAAACTCCTTTGTAGTTTAAATATCCACACAAACCCAGCCTGTAGATCCATGACTTACGGAAGGTAGTCTGCCGTGCCTCCACATACTCCATGTACTGTGTCTGGTCCATACTACGGGTCTGCATGTCTGCTCGCTACAAAACAAACACAAATAAACTTTGTTTACATTAAAATCTGTTCTTATTAATTTTGCAGGTTACCAGAAGTACACATGTAGAATCTGATCACAAACACTTACTGACTAAAGAGACATAAACGTTAGGAAATGCTGCTGTTGAAGTTAAATTTTTGGTAGTACCCACCTCAGCTCTCTCCTGTTTGACTTCATCAATCTCATCATCCTCAAACAGGGACAACAGCTCTCCTGAAATGTGAGGGGGATTGTAAATTTTGAGAACTCACAGTATCTTAGGGAATACAAGCTGATATCATTAACTGAATTTACATTAAAATTTATGAGCAAAACACCAAAATTATGTCTAATAGGTCAAACTTCGCCAATCATTTCTAACTGGTAACTTACTAAATTGCAAAAAAGGATTCTATTCCAAGAATATCAGAAACAACAGTAGAATACTTCAGTTATAACATTGCTGTCAGCCAATGCTATAGCCTATAGGTTACAAAATTACACAGTACAGATGTCTATGTACCTGTTTGGTCAATAGCAGACAGGAAATCATAGCAGAGTTTCCTCCTCTTGGCTACAGGCTGTTTGATGTCCTCTACCTCCACCTCTCCTCCCTCCTCCAGACCTGACCCCTTCACTACCTTCTGTTTCAGGTCCTTAAAGTCCAGATATCTCAGGAGACGTCTTAGCTTCTTCTGCAGGGAGATAAAGACTTTAAGATGAAAAGGAAATGCACAGTATGGAGATCTTAGAGGACATGAAAAATACTGTAATGTGTGTGTTAGCAGGTTTTGATGGTTGTCCTATGCCCAAATACATGTATGTGGGTCTTTGAATTGGCTGGAATATTACAGACAATCAAAAAACTGTAAAAACGGTAAAGGTTTCATGGAAAAGGCACAAGATTGTGCAAAAAAATCATCAATAAACATTAACCAGTAACTTTTAAAAAGTTATACTTGCAACATACAGTTACAGTAACGGGAATTTCGACACAAAAAAGCTTTTAATTTTATGTTTTCTGCAGATTCTGAACAGTACAATTTTCCCCAGTTCCATGACACTGCATAATGCGATGACAATAAAACCAGACATTACAGCTTATCCACCAGTCATTCTCCCTCCCCCTTAGGGCCATCCCCCCTATATTACCCTGGTGTGGAGACTGGTTTATGTGAAAAGCCATAGCCCTAACAGTGGGGCAGATTACAGTGTACAGGTCTCGGGTGGCTCCATGTATAAACTATGCCTCTGTTTTATCTCTTTTTTATTATTTCCCTTCCAAAGGTGTGTTTTATGTTGATAAGCCAGAAAAACATAAAGATATTGGACAACACCTTTTTTTTGGCAAGAATCGCAAAGTCCTGGTTCTTGACCTTTTAAAACTTGTTTTATAACGTAAAATTCCAAAAAGCATTTAGCAGCATATACCTCTGTCACAGTTAACGCTTGCTAACAGGGTCAGGTCAAAGGTTAACAGGGAAGGTTACGACCTTGGCAGAGGTCAATTGTGGGGGTTATAATGTTTCCTTTCCAGGGGCAGTCAAACCGCCATGACTTTTTATGTCACCTTTATTAAGGGATTATCAGATTTAGCAATTTGCAACAACAAACATTTATGTGCAGTGCAGTAAACTAAATGTACTGCTCAGTTAACATATGGTCAATGGGGGAAATGGTTCATAGAAAAGTCGTTACTGTTTTGGTTTTAGTCAAGTTTGTTTCATGGTCATATACGATATTGATAAAATAAAAAAAGTATGATATAAATTATACCCATTTCATGTCATCAATGAAATATTGGGTTATAAGTTGTACTAAAGACAGCAGGGACCTCCCTAAACAATGGAGCAGTGGAGCTCCTCCACCCAGTCCTTATCTCAGCTCCACCCTGTTAATTTTCAAAACTAGTGTTTTTACACCCTTTTCCAGGGTTCTTTGGTCAAATTTACCGATATTTCGCACCCTCCTCCATTCTGTCCTAAATTTCTGGGGAGATCCCTGAGACAGTCTTGCTTAACCATGCCCAAATTTCATGAGAATAGATTCAGATCTTTCAGAAGTTTCATCATTTGGGTCCTTAGACTTACCTATAAACTACAAACATACATAAACACCCCTCCAACCAAAAACCATCCAATAAAAACATAACCCCTCTGTCAGAGGTAGTTAACATACAATAACATCTGGCTACATAATGTATAAGTTTTGTGGACAGTTTGAAACATGAGCACATGCAGGGGGTCACCAGATAACAAGGCCTAAAACTACTTATTATAGACCCACTGCTGCTTAATTAGTCATTATGTCTGACCCTGTGACCTGTAAACAGATGTTAGAGGGTAGGGAACATTTGGGGTCACCAAGGGTCAACAGACAGAGCAGTCTGGCCTCATTCTAGGGTACAAAAATAAATACCAGAATCATTAGCCACTGGTCTGTCACATTTTGTACAAATTGTTTGTAATCAAAAGTGAAAAAAGGCCTGTTATTTTTAAAATGTGATGAGATACACTTCTATAAATAT